GGACTTATTTGGGAAATTTGAAGAGGGGGTTCGCCATAAAAAGGGGGGGGGGTTGCTAGAAAAGGGGGTTTCTCCCGAACTGGATACGGGCCTCTAAATAATGTACATGTTTGGCCAGAATATTGTTCTATGTCTACATATCTCGTTGTCATAATTGTTTGTTTCAGATATTTGTTCTACTGTTTAACTCAGCATTTTCGCATCATTATTTAGGATTTGGAAATCCCCACATTGCCGTTAGGAGACCAATTTTGAAACAGTTTTTCAAGCATCGTTTAGTGCATCATTTATTAACACATAACTGAACTATGTTGATATTTACTTCAATCTTTAAAATTCATTAATTTTAATGGTGACTTTTAAATGTCGATATTTAGCCAGAAACATTAGTAATTTTAGACCTAATTTCAATTAGCTCCATTTCAGTGCTACACACTTCGATTTCCATGACACGTCACAAATAATTACCGGAATTAATTTTCTTGCATTCCTTTTGTGAACAGCCATTGCACATCCAGTATGAAATATACGATATTTTCGAAAACAATGTGCCAGCTCAATGCAAGATGGACAGTTAGAAAAAAAAAAGCACATTGGTAGGTAAAGCAGTGACTAGCCTAGGTTAGACGTATTCTAAAAACGGAAAGGTCCGTGGTTTAATGTCAGATAAAATAGTATAATACATACGGTACTCCAAGTATCGAAATGCACGCCATCGTGTCTTGTATTCTACGTATACGGGGAATGGAAATGAATATAATACGGTGGTAGAGCAACATTCTCAGCCCAAACTCTTCAGTATGATGGAGGTAGGCCCTACTTGATTAAAATATTCCCCTATAAGTAGGCATAAGGTGGTGCGGACAACGAGAGTTCTTTCAATTTATAAAAATACATCAGAAATACAATAATTAAAAAAGAGAACAAAGAAAGAGATAGAGGATAAACAAAAGTGCACAAACCTGCCACAGTCATGTGGTTTTTAAATGCAGCGCTCACAATACAAACACAACACATATTTTTTTTTCATTTATATAAGGTACTGGTTCTGCTGGGTAAAGCCGACCTCCAAAAGTGTTGAAGTACGGTATAACAGTATAGGCGCAGTTTAAGACGCGCAGGAATTGAATTGATTCATTATGTAAATGAATTAATTCATTATGTAAATTTAGAATTGAAAGGTTGTTATTTATATTACTATAAATAAATTGGTTTCATACTCTTTTTTGTTTTTGTTTTACTGTGTATTGAGGGTCCCTAATGATCAGCTTCGGCTGGATGGACCACCCTCATTAAAGATTATTGAAATAAAAATAAATAAAAATAAAAAAATAAATTGAATTGAATTTAAATTGAATTGAAAATTTTAATTAATCCTACAATGAGGAAGGGGAATTATACGACATGCACCACGTTACCTCTGCCCAGTCAATGTCGTTGGCGTTCCAAGGAACAGTTGATCCTATCAGTTGTTGAGAAAAGAAATCGTTGCCGTGCATCGTGGCCGTTACGAACAAAAACGTCACTATATTGAACGAGAGGTTAAACGCTGGAAGGTTGATTTTACCAAACAAGTTGTTTAATGCACTTGACACGAACACACTATTATTAATGAAAAGAAAGAAAATGCACTGATTAAAAACTACCATTTACATCTCATGTACAAAATGACGGTCATTGAGTGAAAGTGGCGTCTAATTTTAATCGTATGATTACTGGCTCAAATTCCATTACGTCATCTTGAAGTAATTTTCTAACGTACCATATTCCTTTTAAAGAAATTGTATGATTTTTCTTTTTATTCCATGCACAACTAACAGAGATACGAACTTATTTTTATTGGGAGAAAGAGGGGTGGACGGGTGAGGGGTGATCTCGGTAACACCCGCGTTATCAGCGACAGGCTACACGTTCGAATATCACCAGAAACGTCTTTCTTACTCTAAAAAGGGAACTGTTCGTTAAAAGTGTATTGCTTGATATGATTATGCCATCACATTCTCCTATGGGAGCACTGTTTATTACTATCTATTTGTAAACAATAATAATAAAAATAGTAGGCCCCTAATAATAATAATAATAATAATAATAATAATAATAACAACAATAATAACAATTTATAAATAGGCTATATCTTTAAAGCTAATGACCATATTTATTATACCATAAGCCTTATGTCAACCACGGAGAGTAGGCCTATGGACAGGTAACTTAAGTTTCAGAATCTGAGTTTTCAATTACGTATGAGAAATCAATCCGTTATATAAATTCATTTCTGATGATCTGGTCTGCTTATGAATAGATTATCTACATTCAGTAACGAAACAAATCTAGATTACGTTTTGTTTTCATAGTTACGGCTACTACTACTACTACTACTACTACCGAGGCTTACTACTGCGGCCTATTAATAAACATAGGCCTACTGGTATGCTTTTATATCCCTAATTTAGATGAATGTTTGCTTGAATGAATTTTAATCAATTAATTATTTCTGTTTTACTGATTTGCTAATTATAAATTATCATCATGTAATCAGTAAAAACTAATCTAAATTAATACGAATAAAATATCATTGGGAGTTAAATGAACGGGTATATATTAGCCTATATAGGCTCCAAATACGATGTTGGCGCCTTTGATTTAGAAAAAAAAAATGGCGTGATATCATACTATCATTTTCTTAAAGAAAACGTGATTCGGCTAGGCCTAGTTTTAGAATTTCAAGACAGTCGAGCCATGGTCTAACACAGCGCAGCGGAGGGTGGGGGGTCTGTTGACTATAACTTCATCAACCTTCTAAAACATTAAGGACAATTATATGTAGACGGAAATTAAGTTGGCAGTGCTCTGTTGTTTCAGTGGTGGCGCTAGGAACTGCCCGACGGAGGGACTAAAGACCCCGCTTACTCTCAAGAAGAAGCCCATCTCAAGCCCAGGGCTTCTATTGGGCTATGCTTCCCCGACGGGGGGGCTATAGCCCCCAGCCCCCTCTGGCGACACCACTGTGTTGTTTAGTTTGGACCCTCCAGCTGCAAAATTCCCTCTCTATTCCTTTAGTTTGTTTTTCACATGAACGTCTGTTTTCCAAGTTCAATATGCCTACTTACATTTTATAGGCCTACGGTCACCAGAAAGAAAATACTGTACGGTTATACGGTTTAAAGGTTAGTCTAGACTCAATTTGAAATTAAGCAATTTTTTCGAATACTGTTTGGAATAAAACCACTACCGGTTTACTGCCTTTATTCGTTAAAAAAAATATCGGTTAACCTTCGAAGTCCCCCATTTTTCGCTGTTCCGCGATCACAATGTTTATATCATAGTGTGTTACAGTAGACATTTTATTTTTACACTGTAGAGTTCATATGCGAATTAGCTTGCTTGGAAAAGCCGTCACGCTAATCAAGCATAATTAGTTGCGTTCGCTTTAGTTGTGTTCGCATTTCAAAGTAATTTGTTTCTGACGCCGACACAGATAATTAAAAGCATGAAATGTAAAAACAGGCTTGGATTATAAAAATGAAAAGTTCCTAAAACATCTTTTGTGGCGTGTATTATTTTTTTTTCTGCCTTCAGTTACTGATCTCTCTGGTTCTCCCGGATTTACTTTGAAATTGATATTCATTTTCATAATCTTTAATCTTAATTACATCAATTTCTTCTCATTGTTAATGAAATGACGATACATATGTATAATGTATACCGGTATACATCTATATAAAGGCCAACAGAAGGACTAAATCCATACTCGAAATCCAAACAAATGCTCAAATTAGATATATTGTTTTATACAAAAACAGACATATAGGCCTAAGTATAATTAATAGGCCTATATTGGAAAAATACAAAATAAAGTTGGGATAAAATTCTGTCTATGAAAAAGAAACATTGTGATGAGAAGATTAAAAGACATAGTTTAAAATTTGAATATAAACGAAGACTCTACACAATATTAAAAAAAACAAAAACATTCATAATAATTCCATCGATATATGAAAATGCACGATGAGGAACGTAAGTATTTTGTCCGATTGCTTCGGTGTAGTCCTATTTAATTTTATTTATTTTCGTCCACAATTTTAAAAACATACAAAAAAAAGTACAAGACAATATCCTTGTCAGTGACAGGATAGACAAAACGCAACCTGAGTTGCTGTGGACAGTTTTTTTCCTCACAAGGGTAAAGTCTAATTAACTGATAATAATAACAGCGAAGGTTCATTCCTCGAGATATCTGAGTGGCAGAAAATGATGTGTTTGTAGACATGTTATTCTCGAAGATTGAATTGTAGAGGGAATGAGATGGAGTTGGTCTAGTGATGTAATCACTTACATTTAATGGGATTTGCTGGAATGTTGCTCAAATGTACAAAGATCTAGCTATATTTTCTCTACCTGTTTTAAGTGATTGGAGTTCAGAAGCCTCCAGTCGTGTGCAACATCTCTTTGATTAGAATGGAGAACATTATTATTCTAATGGTAAATCGTATTTATGTTTAAAAAAAATATATATGTCTGCATAATTACACTAGTGTTCCATGCCCACGAATGTATCTTTTCATAAACGATTGTGGATTATTAGATATTATAAGTATATAAAATATAGATCTATTATTAGGCTATATACAGTTGGCAAGAAATTATTTTTAATTCTTCTGCTAATGTTTCTTTCTGGTTTAGTTACAGGCAACTAGAACTAAAAAAATGTGACAAATGTGTGTGAATTACCCATATGAGTATGATGATACTCATATTACACTATGTATTAGGCATAAAGCATGATAGTATCATGCCCATGAACGAATTACGTGTAGGTCTATTTGTCACATTTTCCTCCATGGTCACATAAAATGTTATAGCGTGTAAGGAGCTTTGGGTATGAAAGGGGTGTGATAAATCCAAGTGCCAGTATAGTATTTTTTGTTTTTGTTTTTTTTGTTTTTTTTTTGATTTGTTAAAAAATTTTAACATTTTTATTTAGAACAATTTATCATAATGAATCTTCTCTTTCAAAAAAAACTCCCCAAACATTAAAATGTGTGAGCTACTTACCTACCTGCACTGCAAAAAATGACAGGGAAAATTAGCCATCCATACCAATTGTCCTCTGCGGACACGGCTGTGATAACAGACCCTATAAGAAGTCCTTGGAACGCAAAGCCCCCATCTTCAACAGCACCTTTTTCTTGAGACATCAGCATAGCCAACAATTGTGCAGACAACAGTCCAAGTAACGCGTTTATCGCCTGCCATGGACTCTGTACGAACAAAGCCACCAACACAATAAACCCGCTAATCGGGTTATTTAAAAAAACTGGTTGACCTATACCTCGAAAACATGCGTTAATGAACTTCAGAACGATGTTCTTGTCTTTGATCCAGTTTTTCAGCGGTCTAATTTCGCCCATAAAATAATTAGTAAAGTGGTATCGAGTTGGCGGCGATACTTCCCTATCCTCAGTTTCTGTTGTATCCATTTTACTCATTTGTATCCACCGAAATTAATAAAATATAGGCCTATACGTGGAAACAGACGCTCAGATAATAGTGCTTCGTCCGCTGGCAACAAAAAAACACAGTAGAATTCGAAAAGTCACTATTGATAACAAAATGCGCTAACTACCTCATTATAGTCTGTCTTGATGATTAGTCAATCAGAACTGAGAGGACATCGTCCACGGCCTTCCGTCATTTTTATACTCTGCTAATGATGGCAGTCTATCGATGTAGAAGAATATGTATAAATATCATATGCAATTCTGTAGGCCAATAATCGATAACTAATTTTTAAGAACGTATTATCGCATCGTTTTCACAGTGATTGATTTATTTGTTTACGTGGTCGGCATGGAACCAACTTTAGCGTGTTTACATATTGATTAACTTAATGAGTAAATGGAAGAATGGTTTCATCCTACAAAATATTTAGATTAGTTGAGTAGGCCTACACTGCAAAATGGAAAGTGTATCTAGCGCCAAATTATATACACACAGGCCTAATGAATCAAATAATGAATTATATGTATATAATTTTGTTAAATAATGAAAGTACATTTGGCGCCACAGAGTTTCAACTACTTTCAACATTAAGCACAAGTTTTGTTGTTGTTTGCGTTTAGATGCCGATTTCCCTTTCATTACACCTGTGTGCGCTAATTGATATTTATATTTTGATGTTATTTTCAGCTGCTCTCTTTCATTTACGCCTAATTTTCGACCATGCATTATTTTCACTGTAGTATTGTAAGTGGGCGTATCTCTATACAATAATATAATTTAAATATGCAAAAACACAAACAATACATGGAAATGAATAGGCCTATTAACGTTTCAAAGAAAGGGGGACCTCCCTAGAACCTTACTGCAGCGTCAACCATTAAACGTATGGAGTTAGTTCCAAACCCAAGACAGCTTACTGAAGCGGAAAGAAGCTTTGGTTCCAATACTTTGTTCTGTGTCCATTCCGGGATGTGATTGTGACAATTATAGAGTAAGATCGGGAGAAATTAGCAATCGGAGAAAAACATTTTAAAATGTCTTTCTTACGCAATTTTTAGATGAATCATTATCAATTGCAACCATATTGTTGGCTGCATATAAGCTTATGGATTTAAAAAAAAAAACAAAAAAAACTTACACATTTGATAACTGAAGATTTATGCACGCCTTTACATTAACTACCGAAAGGACCTGATGATGAAATAAATTAATGTCGGAATATTGAATCTCAACACGATGGCGTGCATTTCAACATTTGGAGCAGTGGTGGCACCAGGACCTGCCCGACGGAGGGGCTAAAGTCCCCGACGGGGGGGGGGGCTAGTGTTGCTGTTGTTGTTGTTGTGATGATGATGATGATGAAAAGTTAACACAAATAATATGGTGGCTAAACGAATATTACATGTAAATATTTTTTTTTTAATTTGTTTGTTCACCGACAAAATGTATCGTCTTCCACGACGGGGGGGGGGGGGGGGCGCTATAGGCCCCCAGCCCCCCCTGGCGCTCTGGCGCCACCACTGATTTGGAGTATGTATTATACTTTCTTACATTAACTACACTGCGGTGGACTGGAACTCGCTACCTTACTCTCTAACCTGCATTAGTGACTCGGTCAAATTCAGGGAACTGGGTGCTGCACAGCGCAGATTTGACTAAGAGCAGATCAATTACCAATCAAGATCAAGAACTATTTAGCGGTATCAATGGAGTACACGGCAAAGTGGAAGATGTATTTGCTCGATGCATGCTGTGTTTAACTATTTCTAACATTAAGCACGAGTTTCGTTAGTGTACAAACTTTTGATTGGTTGCTCGTTGGTATAGGCCTACAATTCTGGAAGCTAATGGGCATCTCTACTCATGTGTACGGATAATATCGGGTGAACGCATCAATCACAAAGACCATAATACGGTAACTGTAAACTACTTACTGCATATTATTAATAAAATATGTCGTAATTAATAGTGGCTATGGTTGTATACAATTATAATACTTCAATGGCGACGTCCGACAATGTTCCCCCACCACCCAAATATTAAATCAATCAATTTATCAAGTGCATAACACGTTATTGCCTTTATATAGAAACAAAACAATATCATATGGAACGTAATTTGCACATTTCACATGAACCTCTCAAATCTAAAAAAAAAACGACGCAAACCCAGGAGGAGATCAACTAATTCTTTTATTGAAAAGGTTTTCAAAATATAAACAGTGAAAGTCTTAAATTATTATAGGAGTTCTTTTTCAGAAACCGTTTTCAGTCAGAAAAACACAATTAAAATGTAATTAACATGCATTTTTTTGATACAATAGACAGATTAAAAATCACGATAGTGCGGTGTACTATTGTATAATAACTACTGTATCTTAAAAATATAAACAGTAATTTATAATTACATGCATTTTATTAGAAAACAGTTTTAGTCCAGAATATCATATCAAGCTACAGACATAATTCTCATATAATGAAGGAAAAAATATAACAAGTAAATAAATGATAGCATTATGTACAACTAGTTAAAAATTAAAATAATTTTTAGAAACTGTTAGTCAGGTGACAACAGCTGTACATAACACTTAATGAAAGTCTCAAGTGCAGAGTATGCAATTAAGTTTTTAAAATATGAAACTACTATAATATTAGGCAAATAGACATGTTATGCTATCAAGTTAAGATTCAACATATATATTTAGCCATATTTATTCTATAAAGAATCCAAAGAAAATTTCTGAAGATGACAAAAACAGAGTTGACGCTGAATCCCAAACATTATGGCGTGCCTATCAATGATCTTTCATTACTTAACTTAGTTATCAAGGTTTTGTAAACTCAAGGAAACAAATACCTCTTATCTTCATTTCTGATATTCATGCAATAACAATACTATACACCAGGGGTGGGCATAAAAATTGGTCAAAGAGTAAAACTTAATTTTTTTTTAACAGAGGGCCGCAACCAAATATATGGTGAAAATTTGACGGTTTTTAAATAATATGCTTGCAAAAACCTTCATACAGTCCTTTTATCCTGCTTTAACCTCAGTTTTAATGATACTGTTTTTTTTTCACATGTATGTCTATTCCACATATCACATGCATTTAAGTTTAACATATTCACGGCTGAAAGAAAACGGTTTCCTTTTCTTTTTTTCTCTGATTTACACTTGGATTCATCTGATGCTGGAACAGACGTTTCAAGACAAACCAAACCTCTCAGCCCTCTTCGATTTCTTTGCCTGTAAGAACAAATACATTTTAATTGAAATAAAATACATAGTAAAGAATATTTGGTTGATTTTTTTACTTTATGGACCATTCTGGTTTTTAAAATTGTTTGTTATTTTTTGTGTAAATTTTAACTGTATTTTAAGTCTGGAGAAACCAAATAAACTCAATCAATCAAACCAAAATGTAAATTAAAATGGTCAGGGACAACTTAACAAAAAGTTTGTAATAATTATCTAGAGAGCAATGTAGAGTGTAAATACTGTATTTCCATCTATATATTCTTACCTCTATATCACCTGAAGATGATGTCAACGCAACACCAAATCTTTCTTTCCTTTTCAATAGTTTATCATCAGTAGTCTAAAAATGAAATTTATCAATACACTAAGTAATAGGAAAATCTATAATTATTATTAATATTATTACTATTATAGGAACTACTTTCTATTTTTTTATGTAAACATGTGCTTTGTATTATTTTGTAACGGTATCCTGAATAAATAAAAAAATAAGTAAATAAACCTATAGTTATATATATTAGCTAATCAATCTATAGCATAATAATTCATATATTATCAATATTAGATTTATAATCATTGCATCAATTAAGCAAATCAATAGACCAGGAATTTCAAATTCCTTTAAAATTAATCTAAAAAACATATTTTATTAAACTGATTTTTGCAGTATCAATTTGTAAATTTTGTTGGTACCATGTTATGTGCTGTATTGTATAATTTATTCTGGATGCGTATACACTAATATTTCTAGATAAAATAAATCAACTACTCAATTTAACTGACCTTCACAACAGACGTCTTAGTAGTACTGGTCTTTGTAGTTGTGTTTACTGCTGTTCCAAATCTCTCTGCCCGTTGTTGCTTCTTCAAAAGATTTTCAGACTGAAAAATGAGGAAAAAGTCAAAAATAAAAAGAGAAGAAATCACGTTTCAAGCCGGTACTTTTATTAATATTCTATAGTATAGAAATATTGACTGCTCAAGAGGGGAATTGTGAAATCTATTGCACCCAGGTGATGTGGAGACTGTAGGCTACAGTAATATGCCTAAATATGGTCATGATGACATCACATCATGACCATATATAGGCATATTATGACTATATAAGGACATTATTATATCATCAAGAAAATGTGCTAGTCTAGAAAGAGCCTAAGAAGAGATTATAGGCAGAGTGATAACATAATATTCAATTTTTGCAATTGCAGCCTTGAGAGGTGTCTTTTATTATTATGATAATCATTAGGCCTACTATTATAGGAAGAAAAAAATATTAGTGGTAAATACATACATGCACCACCCATGATTATCCTATGGGGTGATAATGATAAAAAGGCAAATGGAATAAGTGATCACACAGCAATGCTCTATGCCAATACTACAGTAAATATAAGCTTACTTTTGCAAGAGTAGGTGACACTATTTCTCCAAATCTCTCGGCTCTAGCTTTCTTCTTATCATCTATTTTTGTCTGAAATATAAATATTGAGTGTTTTGTGAAATTTGTTAATTCATTATTCTTAAAATATTTACAAGTGAGCGGTATTTAGAAGAATATTTTACAGTATTACAACTAAGCAATCATGACATTATTCTACATACATTGACAATGCATTATCAATGTTTACTAACTCCTATTCTAGTCAATTTTCATAATAAATAATAATTGTAATAATATTAATAAAAAATGATAACTTATATTACTATACACTAACTGATTTTAATTAACTGACCATGACGGATTTTTGCCTTTTAATAAACAATAGTACTAATAATAATTATAATAAATCACAGATCATTCTTATAGTAGTGTATCTAGATGCATTTCACAATGTTAAATAGAATATATTATAATTTAAGTACATACCGTAGTAGAGACTTGTAACCCAAATCTGTGTAGGCAAAGATAAGAATATTTGAGAACGTATTGCATGAATTAAAAAATAATGAGTTAAATGTTACTATATATACAGTAGAACCTTGATTTTACATACGGTATGGGACCAGAGGACGTACGTAAATCTGGGGATTAATAAAATGTTAGGTTAAATTTGTGGTGACCTTTGACCTAATATGTACGCAAGACTCAATAAATGTATGTTATGAATGAATGATGTTACCTAAGCCTACAACTGTAGGCATAGGCCTACAAATAAAACCATGTGTTTAGTGTTTTCATTCATCACTTTACAATGTCATAATAAAGTGTTAAAATAAAACCATGTTTCTAGTGAAATAAAATAGACAGAAACTAACAAATCTCTTTTTACATTATGGTGAAAAAAAAGGGCTGTTTGTTTTGAGCATTTTGGGGTTTTGACGATGTCATCGTCCGTACGAGGCGTACAAAAAACTGAGGTTCCACTGTACAGGTAACCAAAATTTGAAAAATGTGTAACTTTTAAAGACCTAATCATGATAAAATATGCACACTCATAATTTACCTTTTGGCTCTCTCTGCTTTTTTATCTAAATTCGGGCTTTGAACATTAAATCGCTCCGCTCTGTTTAATTTTCTCTGAAAGAAAAGAAAATTAAATTATGTTGGTTGGTACAGTAATAATTCATGATTAGTTAAAATATTTATGTCCTGTTTTATAGAATGTTGTTTTGAATATTATATTTTTGCCTCTTTAGTTTAGTCTACCTTAATCCTTATTATATCATACATTTATATGTTAATGAGACTTATCCACAAAAGCTAATACCATGATTGTAGTTCATCCAGCAAATGGTTACCACTTGAACACGATAATTATTTGCCTAATTTTGGAGGTGAGGTTTTTCCAATTATAACATGGTTACCACTTGAACGCAATAATTATTTTCCTAGCAGTAGGTACAGCATAGCACTCAATAGTTATCCAGCATAGAACCCAGGCCTCAAAGAAATAGAAGTTACATTCCTCTGATGTTAGGGAGGTCTTTTTTCCCCCCCAAGCATTAGTGGTAATGTACTAAAATGTTAGGGGGTAGGCATATATTACTATAGTTTGAAGGTTTGCATGACGAAGCAATAATATATATACAATGCTTGTGTACACCACATACTGTAAAACCTCAAATTAAAGCCCTGGGCTTCTTTTTTTTTTGCAAAATTTGGATAGGCTTCTTTTCAAGGCTACTTTTGCAAACTAAAGATTGGCTTCTTCTCGAGATTAAGCCCATTGGGCTTCTATTCGAGGTCTTATGGTAGTGTACCGCTAGTATCTAATATATCATAATATATCATATACCACTATATATGTATGTGGTGTACCGCAAGTATTTAATATATCATATACTACTATATTTGTATATTATGACAATAAAATTGATCAGAACCTATATTTGTGCTAAAACACAAGGAGAGCATGTGGATATAATTAAACATACAACATAATAATTTCATTGATTCAGCTTGTACACTAACACATATTTAGTCAACTGACTACTACAGTACTATTTTTCATTCTGAAGAGAGTATTTATTTACTATTTTGTCGTCCACATTTGAGACTGCTTTAAGTGTGGGTGATTCTGGCGCAGTGGACTCCTCAACTACAGCTGTTTCTGCTTCTGTTTCTGTTTCTTCTACATTCTCCCCTTCTTCCTCTGCTAAATCCTCCTTTCATAAAGAAATATAAATAATTTATTATCTTAAAGACATACAATATACTATATGTGTTAATCTAAAAAAATAATATATAATTCAGCATTTTAATAGCTTTACTGTGTACAACTTTTTTTAAAATTTTAAATTGATTTTATAAATATTGGAAGAGAAATAATTCTGTAATTAGAAACAGAAAACTCATTGAATTATAAACATTTTATAAATGGAAAAAATTAGAGAAGCACATGAGGAGAATATTACGGACAGTTTACCTCTAAACCTCCAAGCAGGTCACTTTCTTCCAGCAAGTTTCCACCTATAAAATACATAAAGAAAAATGGCAATTACAAAAAAGGTTTATTGTGTCTGCATTGTGTTAGTATAACATAGTGTACCCACAAAATGTATTAATTGTTAATTTAGATTTACCATTATGATTTTTATCATATACTTATCATTTTTCACCATTATCTATCTTGCTTTGATGATGTGTCTTTGTATTGTTTATTTATAATATTTTGATACATCTAAATATTCATTATGACAACACATCAAGACCATACATAGGCACATCATGACTATATAGGCATACAAGTTTTTTTGTCAAAGAAAATGTGATAATCTAAATTGTTTTACCTTCTTCTTCAGCAATGCTTGTATCTTGTCCTGACTCTGCCAGATGCTGCTTCAACCTCTCCAGTAACTCAGCTTTGTTACCTTTAACACTGAGACCATTGGCCTCCAACTCTTTCTTCAATTCAGCAACCTATTAGTAAAAATTATGAAGAGAACTTTAGAAAACTGTACGGGGCCTAGGGAAGCTTAGACCAAATCAGTTAAAACATAAAATAAAACAAAAAATGCTACAAATGCTCATCATATCCCAAAAAATATAATATTAAATGATTATAATATTAAATGATTAATGTAAAAATCCACACTATGTATGGAAAATTACTCATGGACAAATACAAAAAAAAAAAAAATCAATCATGAAAAAAAAAATTTATAAAACCTGGAAAACAGGGGATTTGGGACCACAGTAAAAATAAGACCCAGGGAGTTGTTCAATTAGAATGCCAGTCAATTTGAGCGAATGTGCCAGTTTGAGCGGATGTTAGTTCGTTTGGATGCATTTAGTGCAAACTACTGTACAACAAGGGCGAATTTATCGTCACCCTATTCTTGTATTTGTTTGTTTTAAATGCAAAAAACGCTCTGTGCACTCTAAAGTTCTGAAATGGTTTTGGCACTTTTTGATAATTATTCAACGTTTGAATTACAGTCTTGGCAAATCCGACTACCAGATGGCCACTAACGAGCACTTTTATTTTAAATCTATAAAACTGCACGTTTCATTGCGAATTCATGGTTTTAGTCTCCAGTTGGGGTTTTGTATTTAAAAAAAATTATATATGTAATTGAATTACTGTATATAGTGTTGTAATTGTATTTGTAGATTTATGATTTAGGCCTATATTTGAAAATGGGAGTAACTGTATTTTGTATTTGTTATTCACCATAGAAATTTAAATTATTTGTACGTATCTAGGTGTCAGAAGGTGCACAAATCATTGGTATAGCAGTGTGACACAGGGGCGGATCCAGTAGGGGCAGGGGTTAGGCACGTTGCCCCCCCCCCCCCGTTTTGCCAAATTTTAC